ATAATAATAATGATAATAATGATAACAATAATGATAATGATAGTGATAATGATGATAGTGAAAATGATGATAGTGCTAATGATGATAATGATAATGATGATAATGATAATAATAATAATAATAATATAGTATTTAATTTAATATTTATTTGTTGAAGTGATGCCGGAATTTCAGAGGGTCGTTTTCTTCCGCAGATTCCGACGACAGTGGTTTCAGTATCACAGGCGCGACGGATGGTAGCGCGCAGATACAAGGTGCCAGCGACGGCCACTCTAATTTCCAAATTCACGGTGCCACTCGCGGGCCAGCGGAAAGATACGTGCAGGGACCTACTGTAGGATCGTACAACATCCAAGGATCAACGGATGGACACGGTCAGTCGATCATTCAAGGTTCCTACGATAGTAATTTAGGACCTGCGAAATCTCTTCAATATAACGATCCCAGTGGTAAGTGATAAGTGATAAGTCGTCATTTGATTAATTGAACAAGTCATAGTCTTTCGTGATATGTACAGTGAAGAGCACGACTATACCAAAGACAATGAAAAATTGTCGATGATCTGATGTTAGATAACTTTGGACAAGAAGGTGGACTTATATTTACGATTTACTTTTCAAACTCGTTTTAAAACTAGCGTGAAGCTAGCTTCTACTTTGACACAACTGTGAAAATCGTGTAGAAACGTCAAGTCTAAAATCGTGTAACCTTCAAGTCTACCATCATTTCAAAGATTAAAGCTTTTTCTTTATAATGACTTCTTGAAACTTGTGCAATTTTTTTTTCTTTTAACTGTTTTATTGAACGACAGATATTAAAGAAATCCTTACATTCAGTCCTAATGTTCAAAGTCCAATAAAATGACGAAGAAAAATCGTACAGCGAGTTTTAAGGAGTTGTTGTCAAGAGAAAACATCAGTCTTCAAGTTCATGGAAGATATGGTCATGAGAAAGTTTTTTTAATGTCTCAAGAGGTATTTAAGTGTTTAGTTAATTTTAGCAAAAGTATCACAGTGCCATATGTTGAAAAAAAAAATACTTAATCTATAATCTTTATAAACGATACATAATCTTGTTTTTTAATAAAGTTATACTACGATCATAAGAAAGTTTCTTTAATGTCTCAAGAGGTATTTAAGTGTTTAGTTAATTTTAGCAAAAGTATCACAGTGCCATATATTGAAAAAAACGTAATCTATAATCTTTATAAACGATACATAATTTTTTTTTAATAATATTTTTTTTTAATAATATTAATTTTTTTATATTAATTAATTTAATTAATTATATTAATAATATTAATTAATTTTTTTTTTAAATAATATACCACATTTTTATAAAGTCATTGGCAATCTTTCATTGTCATTGGTACAACTATGCTCTTCAGATCTAACATTTCCTTTCCACGGTGTGTTTCAATTATCTGGCACAGTACAAGAACTAAACTAAATTCCGTTTGAAAGGGCTGAGAGTGAACTGGAGGTCGTACGATCGTCGACCACAGCCGAAGGCGCGGCCGGAAGTGCAATATTCGGAGACCTCGGTTGCGAGTGTTCCAACAGCATCGTCTCGACAAAAGTCTCAAGCGTCAAGGCGACCGCCACCGCCACCCGAGCCGCTTCAGCAATCCAAGCCTTTGGAAAATGCACCTTCGCATATCCAGCATCTTCTTCAACTGCAAGCGCAGCTTCCATACGTGAACATCATTCCTGAACCGTACAGGTAATGCTTCGAAAGCTTGTCGTCGTTTCTGCGTTCATTTATTTCAGAAGAGCTGGCGCCACGAGTGTTAAATGCTATTACATAGAATATACTGTCAGTCGTTAAATGATGTAATAGGTGTAGGAATTATCTTGTATGTGATTATGCAACGGTGTGACGTAACAGTGTCTTAATATAATGATATAACGCAGTGCTCTTATGACACGACATTCTGGAAACCCGGTTTTCCATTATAACGGTGCAAAAATTATGACAGCCCTCCTGTAACACGATATTCTGATAACACACGTAGTATGACTTCAGCGTGAATTTTTCCATCACGCTGTTCTTGTGATTTCAGGTTTTTCCTGATACAACAGGAAACTGAAGTGAACAAACTGCATAATGATATAATAATATCTCGATGCAATAGTGGACTCGTATTGCAACAAAATGGAAGAACTCTTTAGACTCGCATGAATATTCTTTGCAGGTATGAAAATTTGATAGCATCGCAGGGAAATCAACAGCCTCGGTACGAACCTCAGTACGAACCTCAGTATGAAGCCGAACCGCAGGAGGAACCAGCGCCGGAACCACGAAGACCAACTTACCGCGGGAAATCTCGTGGTTCGCCAAGACACAGACGACAAGCGCCACAGTACAAGCAGGAAGCCGCTCCCGTACAGCGACAGCAACCCCGTAGACTTTCGCAACCACCGGCTGAACCTCCAATTAACTACAACTCGAATTTGCCGCCTCATCTTCAACAATTGTTGAAGTATCAGGCTCAAACTCCGTACATCAACTCGATCCCCGAACAGTACAGGTGAATGAAATATATATGCTTTCATATATTTCAGTATATACATTCCACAATGAGATATAAGATAAGTCATTAAAAATCAAGTTCTGAATCATTGTTACAGTGTTTCAGTGTATGAATACCACTTGCAAGTGAAGATGGCGTATTAAAAGTTTTTTTTTATATAAACAGGATTAGTGTGTATATCAAATTTGTCCTGTCTGCTCCTGGAGCTTGTATATACAGAGAAAGCAAAAATATGTTTTTCTAATAAAATTATTCTCACTTTGTAGAATGTACGTACTGAATTGTGACAATGATTGAGAATTTAATTTTTAAAGACTCTTGTATCACATTATATTTCATTATGGGATACTTACCGAATTGTTTTTACTTATTTTATTTATATTATATATAATATTATACTATTATGTTAATGTTGTCTTTTTTTCAAATTTAATCATTCAACTGGCAATAATTAAAAAAAAAATAATAAAATTTTGTACAGTATCAAAAAGACAATATTACTTAACACGTTCCGTGCCAAGCGATTTTTGCCTTTTGTTGTCGTTCAGG